AAAAAGTTTGATGTAGCCAAACTTAAGGAAGATTGAAATGAGAATATTGTTTTGACCAGAAAGTGGGCCAAGCACCAGAAGGTAAGGGCCTGCCCATATGCAGTGCTAAGGATTTTGCATCTGACACTATTGGGTGTCATAAGCCATTAAGTTGTTTAAAATGGGCTAATATCACTCAGTTAGGGTTGGTTTTGTTTCAGTATTTGTGGTACCATGTAGGGAATGAATGGGAACAAGAAGACAATTACAGCAAGAAGACCAGTTAGACAGCTGTTTAATAGTTAGGGAGAAATGATGAGGATCTTAAAGGATGCAAAGGAAATGGAGAGAAAATAAAATTTGAGGGATATTCCTGATATAAGTAAGAGAAAATATTAAACCAGGGTGGCACCTGTGGCTCAGTGTGTAGGGCGCTGACCCCATATACCAAGAGTGGAGGGGTCAAACCCAGCCCAGGCCAAACTGCAACAAAAAAATAGCCAGGCATTGTGGCAGGCATCTGTAGTCCCCGCTACTCAGAAAGATGAGGCAGGAGAATCACCTAAGCCCAGGAGCTGGAGGTTGCTATGAGCTATGACACCACAGCATTCTACTGAGGATGACAAATTGAGACTCTGTCTCTAAAAAAAAAAAGAAAGAAAGAAAAATGAAAATATTAAACCAGTATAAGGTTTTAAACAGAGAAGTCATGATGAAATTGTTGTTACTAAATTTTGCCTCTCAAAACATTATGAAATGTATTTTCAACCGACATTTTCACTTACATAGATAGGAGTTTGAGAACATGGTAATATTCTGCTCAGGTTTCCTCAACTGCTAGGGCCATCTATGTTAGGTATAAAATAATATTTTGAAACATGGTTGCAAAACCAACAAGAGAATCATTCAGAGCTACCTGTTTGCCATAGTCAGTAGATTACGGGATTAGAATCGTAGAATAGACTTTGCATGTATTGTGGTGCAACCTTATTGTTTGATACTGAAGAAATGGAAGCTAGACATGTGAAATAACTTGCCTGGATCCCATAACTAGTTTGTGACAAAGCTAGATCTTAAAAACCTAAGCTTTCTGATTTATAATCTAGAACTGGTACTGTGGTTGGGAGGAGAGGGTGTTGGTGTGTAACCGTGTATGTGTTTATCATCCCTTAACAGGAGAATCAAGGCATTAAAAGTGACAGAAAGAGCTTTGAGCTTGGAATAAAAACATTGATTCTTGTCTCAGAACTATCCCTTACTAACCTTTAGTCACTTCATCCATCTGAGCTAGTCTTTCTTTATCTGAAATCAGAGTATTAGCCTACCGTCTTTACCAGATCATATTGTGAATTAAATAAATGAATTAAACCCATGATAGTTTTGTATTAGTTATGGAAAACCTACTATCAGTTCATGATCGGTTAAACCTGTACTCTTCACTGCCTGCTTTATTGGTCTCTACCATACTACAGAGTCTAGTTTAAAAACTAAGAACCTAATCATTTCAGTTAGTTTGTCTAATATAGAAATAATTCTGAGGCCAGGTGAGTTTTTCAGCAAATTATAGTTCCTTACTAGAGATACGTTGCCCTTTGTTTGTATATGTCCTCTTTAAAAATATTTTTTAAATCTTTAACTTTTCATTTTGAAAAGACTTGAGAGAAAAAGTTACAAAAATAATACAAAGAGGTACTATGTACCCTTCACCCAGCTTCCTGTGTTAGCATCTTACATGACCATGTACAATTTAAAACTCTGAAAATTGACATTTATACAATAGTGTTAATAAATCTACAGGCTTCATTCAGATTCTATCAGTTGTCCCACTGAAGTCACTTTCTAACCCGAATCCCGTCTTGCATTGCGTTTAGTTGTCCTTCCTCTTTATTTCACTCTGGTCTGTGCCATTTGCTTCATCTTTGTTATAACTTTGACATATTTGAAGAGTATTAGCTAGAAGTCCCTTCTGTATTTAAAATATCACTTATATGAGTATGTTAAAGACTACAAAATATGAGAATCCATTCTGCCAGTGGTAGGGAGCTAGCCCACCCTCAACCTGTAAGTGTCCCCAGTGCTTGTCAGTGACAGGGAAATGAAGAAAATAAAGACAATAGAAATAGAGTAGAATTTACAGAGTGGGCCCAGGGGGCCAACACCTTTTATGCAAGTGACAGAGAGGACGTGAACTCTGGATGCACTCAGTTTTTATTCTCTTGATCAGCAACTGGATGTTGGTACAACAATATACGTCATCCTTCTGGTTTCTCATGCCCTAATTGTCCGTTACCCACCCAATTACCCTTTAACTATTTTCATTACTTCTCTAAAAGGTTTATCAATCACTAACAGTATTACAGAAAACAAAAGGAAAAGGGAACATGGACTTTGGAACTAGATGCAACCCAGTTAATCCTCTGTGTTCCTGCCAGGCAGATAAGTTGGTGCCTTACTCCTATCAGAAGCTGGAGAGAAAAAAAAGCTGAATCTTCTTATCTCAAACCCTAATATGAACTATTTTTTTCTTGCTCAATGAGTCAGCTATACTTGCTGTCCTAGTTAATGTGAAAATGGCTTCCCAAGCCCTTTTAGGCCCCATCCAGGCCCTTATGGACCTCTTTTCTGGGGTCCTTTCTGGCTTCAGCCAGGCCATTGCAGGCCTTTTTCCTGAAGTCCTCTGATGTTCATGTCAAGCTGTCTCATGAAGCCCCCAGGATAGTGTGTTCTTTTTGGAGGCCCAGGTCCTCACCCATTATCCTGAATACCTGACCCTGATCACAAATCTTTTGTACAATCATTTCATTATTATGTCGATCTAAGTCTCTTCTTATAATCCTAACTTCATAATGTTCACCCACAGCCAGTCTGCTCCATATCAAGTACAGCTTTATTTCTCCACCAACTTTCTGAATGTTGCCCGGGACTTCCCATCAGCATTTCAAACTTAACATGTCTAAAACTGAATTAATCATAACTATCACAATTGTCCTCTAATCTAACTTCCTTACTTTTGTTAATACTACCACTCAGCATCTATTAACCTTGACTTCAAACCCCAAATTTGCTGTTTAAATTTTCCCTCCCTTGTTGTTCTCCAACT